ATTAAGATTGTTTAAGAACAGACAGAAGATTGTTATGAAGAACTCAGACTTCGTGGAGTCACTTCTCTAGTATCTTGCTGTAAAAGTTAAACATGACATTTCTTTTTCAGTAAACTTGCAGTTGACCGAAACTTGAACTTTGACCAACTTACACCACTTGCTCATTTCAAACAGACGATCAAGAAATTGAATCATTACTCTGTAACATATTCCAACTTGATTTCACTTTGAATGAGGATTAAAAATCGTTATTACTGTTTCAAAGTTGATTTAAAAATGAGTAGTTCACTTCAACATTTAAACATTGTTTGAACTAACACAATTTGATTATCAAACATTTGTAAAATAGTAATGATAATAGAAAAGAGAGTTCTTTCACTTGATCAATTCAAGAAAGAAAGTCTCAGGATGGGTCAACCTGTATTTCTGGATTCAAATCAATGAAATGACAGTTTCTGTCCCATAAGGTGCCTAAGGTCAAGGTTTTGACATCAGGCCTAGTTCACTACATAAGCATTTAGCCATGGGATGATCTGTGGTCCCTTAAACCCAATAAGAAATTAATTACATGCTTAATATATAAACAACTTATGGATTTGGATATCCATTCAGTGGCTAAAATTCAAGAGCGCTTGGGAATGGGAGTTGGGTATCACTTTTTCCAGATCAATTGTGGGAGAAAGAAATAGTCAATGTTCATTATAGAGCACCTTGTGCCAGGTTACAACTTATTCAATTCAAGGTCCACAATACAGGGTCCACTATTCAAAGTCTCATCTGTCAGAGATTTACCCACAAGTCATGGATCAATGTGAGAGATGTCATGCTAGAACCATGTAATCCGAGTCACATGTTCATTTTGTGCCTGAAACTCCATAGCTTTTGGAGCCAGTAGTTAGTCGTTCTTTCCAAAGCTCTTGGAGTCCAAGTCTGCATGAACCCTTAGTACAGTATCGACAAAAAAAAAGCCAACTGACCATGCTCACTCTAAAGTATTAGCCTTTACGTCACTCTTAGCCAGGCATTGTATTCTACTACTTTGGAAATCTTTTAAGACACCTTCACTTTCTTTGTGGTTTTGAAATGTTATGTCACTTCATAAATTGTAAAAGATAGGTCTTAGAACAAGGGGAAATTATGGTAAATTTGATCAGACAAGGGACTCTTTTGTGAGCTACTGCAAGTCATTGAACATCTTACCATCTGACTGATGTGATCATATTTGCAATGCTACATAGGCATATATGCAACGCTCAGTGAAACACCAAGAGTACAACCAACGGTACATACCCTCTCAGAAAACTGCCAAAGATAACTGAATAATCCAACTCTAATGCATGAAATCCCTCACACACCAATCTTAAATATCAGAGAGTCAGAGTCAGAGTTTCTTTATTGTCATTCGCACCTCATGTGGTACATGTGGCGGAGCGAAATTGTGTACACAAGGTCCCAGTTACATCCAACAATAAAATGTATAAGAAAAACAGTAATAACATCTAAGATATGAACTAAGAAAAACATCAACTAAATATACACTAAGCACTCATAACATAAAACATTGAACATCAGCACAAACATGAACATGAGTCTGTGAGCAGATGTGCACGCATGAACACATCAACATTGAAACAGATCAGCAGCAACATGAAACCGATCAGCAGCAACATGATGTGGTTTTTCACAGTGATTATTCTAGTTAGAGATTCATGAGTCTAACAGCCTCAGGGTAGAAGCTGTTCCTCAGTCTAGTGGTTCTACACTTAATGCTCCTTAACCTCCTTCCTGAGGGGAGTGGGGCAAAAAGTGTGTGTGCTGGGTGAGTGGGGTCCTTCATGATGCAGGTGGCCCTCTTCCTGCATCTGGAGGTGTAGATGTCTGTGATGGTGGGGAGGCTGATTCCAACAGATTTCTGTGCAGCCTTCACCACTCTCTGCAAAGCTTTTCTTTCTGCAGTTGTGCAGCCTCCATGCCACATGTTGATGCTGGAGCACAGGATGCTCTCCACTGCACACCTGTAGAAGGAGGTGAGGACTGAGCTTCTCAGACCAGCTCGCCTCAGCCGTCTGAGGAAGTAGAGTCTCTGATGAGCTATATGTGTCTATATATACGTGTCTAAATATATGTGTCTAATGAGTGTATACAGGACTGTGTTGTGATGAAAGGTCTTTTTCACTGAGAAGGATGTTCATGATGCAAAATGAAAACCAGTTCAACTAAAAGCAAGTAAGAATGTGAAACTGCTGTAAGTTGCACAAGTATCACTCAAGATTTCTCTGGTGGAAGTGGTGCTAATAAAATAAGATCCAATGTGAAGCCATAGTCTGATGACATTTTCTGTCCTAAACATTTGGTGAGTTGCACTGCGCCCAACTTACTGTGGACTGTCTTATGGACAGAAACCACAATCTAGGGAACAAAGGGTTCAACATTTCTATGTGACTTGGATGTCAAGCTGGAGAATAGACAATGTTTTAACAATTATCCACCATTATTCAAGGAGGGCAGCCCAACAGACCCGCCTGCCCTGCCATAAATATCATGGTATGTAAATAAATTAATTATCTTTACATTATTTCATGTGCCCAATTCAGCGCGGCAGGGAAATAAACCAAGAGTAAACGCTGAAGGTGAATGGTCCAGTTAAAGTCTAGGCCTCAACTTGACTGAAATGCTATGAGGTGACCTGAAGAGCTGCACAGAAGCAAATGTCTGCAGACTTCAATAAACTGAAGCAATCAATGCTGGAAAGGAGAGTGGGACAAAATTCCTCCACAACCATGTGAGAAGCTGATTTGCCATTCCAAACCCCACTGCTGAGAGTTACTGCTGGTAAAAGATCTACAAGCTGCTGAATCTTCCTGCGTAGTTTGTTTAGCTTGTCTTAATTTTTGTTTAATATAAATATACATGGAGGAATCAGGTGTGCCTGTGTGTTTACACCTGAAGTTAGTCAAATAATTGTTTTGTGTGTCCTAATACATAAAAACTCGAGACCTAAAAGGGCACGTGCTTTCGTGTCCTCATGGCAGTATATGATTTCTGTATGCTATCATTTACTGGCTGGACCTGTTCCCATTGTGTAGAGCTCCATTTAAACCTCTCCCAGACATTTAGGCAAAATGAAAATGTAACTAGATCCCTCATGTCAGCAGTTCAACAACAACAGGCCAACATTTACCGGTTACAGGGACACTTTTAAACATATTTTCCATCTACAGTCAGAGTGAGCGGGGACAAAAACAGCAAAACAAGAAGAACATGATCTGATGTCCTTAGAGAATCAAGCAGTAATAATGCATTTAGTTCTAGGAGCATTCAAAACTAAACCGTAAAGATGGCGAAGCTGGTTCTGGGGACAAAATGAACGCTGCTGTAGCCGTTTTCTTTTCCAACAAAATCCTTCAACAGACGTGTGTTTACCTTTCAGACCAGACATGGAAGTTGTGGTTTTCAACTGGATTTGACAAACTTGGTTCATAGTATAATTTACAGTGCCGATGAATTAAAAGGCAAATTCATAATAAAACTTACCAATGTCTTGTTTTGTAAATGCATTAGAAGCTCATAAACTGAATAAACAGTTTTATAAGAACTCTTTAAAGTGCCTCAGGTCTTCTGCAGAGCATTGTTTACCTTGCTGTGGGTGTGGTGGTTTGCACCAGCTGCAGCCTGAAATTCCTCGGTCTGCTGCTTCACAAGTTTCATACTAATTCCAAAGTCTGAACTTATTTAAATCTGTCGGTGAGTTTGTGTCAAATTAGATTGTAAAAAGTGAGTTAGGTCAGTGGAGAAAAACATACAGACTTCAGGAACTTTCTTACTGAGATCTATTTTGTTTAAAAGCAGAAGCGCTGCCCGTCACCTGAATGATTCACCCGTTTTCATCATTAAATGTTTACAAATCATTCCCTCTATTCAGATCCATGTTTCCTCCATGTTTTCCAGCACTCCTTCCAGTTTTTGTGCCATTTCAACAATTTATATCAAATCGTTCAGCTCATTCAAGACATTCATATTCACGCTTGTTTTTACTTTTTAAATTTAGCTTTGTCATTTTCATTTAAACTGAATGGAGCTCTCGTCACATCCTTCAAACTCTTTGTGCCGTTTACAACCTGTTATGGCTCAATTCAACTTCCTTTGGCTTCTTTCTGCTAATTTCAGCTGGTTTGGGGATTTTCAGCTTCTTTCAGCTAAATTTTGCTTTTATTCCTGATTTTAAAGCTACTTTTTAGGTATTTTTCTTCTAATTTTAGCCTTTTTTTCTGCTATTCTTTGTTAACTTCTGTGCTCCATTTAGACTCTTTCTGCTAATTTCAGCTTTTTACTGGCATTTCAGTTTCTTTTCTGCTCATTTCATCCACCCATCCATCCATCATCTGTATTCACTTCTTTCTGGGTCTTGGGGGGTCAGTGGTGCCCATGTGCAGCAGCCACAGGTCACAAGTCAGGGACATGGAGACAAACGAGAAACAACCATTCACACTCTCACCTCGGGACAATTTAGAGTTACCAATCAGCCTAACATGTATGTTTTTGGTCTGTGGGAGGAAACTGGAGTACCTGGAGAAAACCCACGCATGCACGAGAGAACATGCAAACTTCACACAGAAGGGTCTCCAGCTGGGATTTGATCCAACAACCTACTTGCTGAGAACCTACTTGCTGCAACAGCTCCACAGTCTGAGCCACCGTACCACCTTGGTAAATTCAGATTTATTGTAATCCATTCAGCCTCTGCACACTTCTGCTGATTTCACTTTCCTGCTTTCAGCAAACGTCAGCTGTTTAAATTCAACTCTTCAGCAGCTTTCAGCAAAAATCATTCAGCAATAAGCATTCACACTGCATTATGACATTTCTCTAGTTGTCTTCTCTGAGCAGCTTCAGAGCCCAGGTGTGTTTTCAACACGAACACATGAAGTGGTGTGTCCTGATTGGACCCCCATCAGTACGAGGGAGCTGCTCCTGGCTGTGTGCTCGTGCACGTTTTCTACCTTCTCGGCCTCCTGGCTGCAGCGCTCCACTCGGGTTGTGTATTTGCGGACTTCCTCCTGCGACTTGGACGGGTCAGCCTTGGCGTGCGTTTCCCTGGTAACAGCTGTCCACTCCTCCCTCCTGGCCTGGTGGTAGCTCTTCTTACTAGACTCCATCTTGACACACACATTTGACTTTCAGCTGAATGTAGAATAAGTGGTCCTCAGTTAAAACCAGTGTTGGTTTCAACTTCTCCTGACCTCTCAGGTGACCCTCACCTCCTTCAGTTTACGGACCCAGGGTTTCTGAGCTTTTCTGAAGCCGTCCTCCGCATCTTTAGTCTCCTTGAAGCCTCCCATCATTTGCTTGTTGAAAGCCTCTTTCTGCCAGTTGTGAACCTTCTTGCTGTCCTCGCCCGCCAGCCGCTCCCGCAGCTCCATGTGCATCTCGCTGAGGCGGTCAGCCGCCTGCATGAAGGCATGCCACGCCTTCTCCAGGGTCCCGTACTGAGGTCCTGATGAAGAGCACCGAGGACAGAGTCAGGTCTGTGCCATCAACTTCAAACAGAACAGAAAGAAATTAAAAAAGGTGCCACTGCAACTGATTTCTCTTTAAAATCAATAAGTTTGAATTCATTGTAAATTCTTGTCTACACATTTTTAATTAACAGACTAGTACAGTATAGTGTGCAGAGATTTCACCTTTTTGGAATAAAATATTTCTAAATTAGAAACTGAAATAAACATTTGCAGTTTACAGCATCTTCATTTTCAGAATTAAAAGTTTTACGAGTCAGACAAATATCACAAATCGTCCCTCGTTTCTTTACACTTCTCTTCTAAGGAGACAGACTTTCTTCTAGTGATCAATAGTTTATGTTTTCTGAAAGTTTTTAATGTTTTATTTGGACTTTGACTGCTTTTGTAGAAATTTTTTAGTCCAGGCTGTGAACATTTTCAGAAAGATGTCTTTGGTTTTGTTCATTAAACCCTTTTCTTTTGACCCATAAATCATTTACCGTAATTTCTGGACTATAAGCTGCTACTTTTTTCTCACATGTTGAACACTGCAGCTTATACAACGCTGCAGCTAATTTATGGTGCGTTTTTTTTTTTTTATTAGCTAACGAGCTTCATGCCACCAAACATTTAGCCTCGTCACACCCGGGCGCTCACATAGCTGCACAATACACGTCTCTCTTGGGGGTGGTGGGTCGTCAATGAGACTACCTGCATAAAAAAAATGTTTTAAAAAAATCTGACCAATGAAATTACAGAATAGGTCACAGTGGACCAATGAAACTTGGTCCCAAATCCCAATCCCAAAGAAGCTGCTGGTTAAACACCCTGACATGATCAACTTGTAGTGAACTTGACCTGATGTCAAAACTAAGCCTAAGGTCAAAACCCTTGACCTTAAGAACCTTGTGGGACAGAAACTGTCATTTCATTGATGAGGGTGAGGCTTTTCTCAGGTCCTGTCAGGTCACTGTTGACCACCCCCCCATTTAAACAGAAACAATATTAAACTTTACTTTAATGCCAAAGTCCAAAGAAAATGAAACTCTGAAGAACTTCTGATCAAAATTAATTTAAATTTAGAAGAAAAATATGTCTTTTTGAAAACAAACAAAAATAAACAAATGTACAGCTATTCTGAACAAAGTGGTGTCCTGAACAGTCTTAAATTCTATTACAAGTTGCAGTTAAATAGGTTTAAGAATGAGATCTTGTATCTCAATGAGATTTCTCACAGAAATAAAAAGGTACAGTAATTAAAAAACTGATTGCATTGTTAATATGAAGATCAAAAGCAGATAAAAGCTCGTTTTAACACAAGTTCCCTGACCTTTTTCCACAATGCCCCTCCATCGTTTGGCCCAGTCGCTCAGCTGAAGAGCGTAGCTCTTTTCTATTTTAGCTCGTTCCTGGAAGCAGCTGATGAGCTCGTTACACAGACGGTGACCATCGTCGATCCGTTTCACCGTCCTTTTGTAGTTCCCCGGCTGCAGAAACACAGAAAAACAAACGAAAGAAAAATCTGAGTTCACAAACTTGTTTCCACTTTCTAGTAGCAAAAGGTCCAAAACATCATTTGCTTCTCTAAACGTGTATTAATGTTAATAACTTTTTTTGCTCAAGAATAAAAAATACATACTTCAAAACATCAATCAATCACTTTGACTAGAGGGAAAACTTCTGGTTAAAAATGAACGTGTGCTGCACATTAAACGCCCGTCGACAAACTATTATACAGCAACATATAGCAATGGTCTGGACCAGCAAAGACCTTCATTTAACCATGACCTTGATTTGTGACCTTGAAGCTGGGGTAATGAAAAGTGTACGTGACACGGTCTAGTGACGATGCACGCGTAGAAGTTTCATTAAATTATCTTGAGCGCATCATCGTGCTGTGGCCCGGAGAAGAGAAATTCTCCAGATGTACAGTCTATACCATAATATGTCTAAATGTTGACAGGTGTCAGAAAAAAGATAAAATCATAATTCATAAAAAAATATAAAACAACAAGAGAGGGGGAAAAAACAGTTTTAATTTTTAAACAAATGTAAAAGACTACACTGTATAAAAGCACCACAAAACCTTAAAAACCCGAGATAGAAAAGTTTTACACTTTTATAGAATTGGATATTTTTGTATCTTTAATAGGACAAGTAACTGTTACACTTTTAATTCATATTTTTTAATCTTCTTTCGGCTGCTCCCTTCTTCAGGGTCATTACAGTGAACTAACTCGTACGAAGACTGTGATTTTTTTTAAATGGATGTCCTTCCTGACCACAGCCCACTGAGCTGCCTCAGCCTCTGTGTGGAGCAGAGAGCTGCATCTAGAGCGCCCGGAGGAGCAGAAGGTGGGGGTTTAGGACCTTGCTCAAGGGCCCAGAGTGGGGCAAAAAAACGTGGAGGCAAGTGTGGGTGTTTCACCTTTCCCACCCACATTTTGATGTTTTCTGTACGGGCAGCTGAACTAGCAACCTTTTGAAGACAGGTCCACCTTCTTTCTTCAACCTCTGCCCCACACTTTTAATTAATCAGTTCATTATTTTACTACAATATCTCATGAAACAATGGATGGATTTTTTATTTTTTTACTCCAAAAATAATCCTTGAATGAACAACTAATAACTTTCAGTCAACCTGATTCAAGATGGCTACCACCACAGTTAAGGAAGGGGAAGTCTGAGATTGTCATCGTATGTTCCCATACAATGGCAACATTGGTTCTCTGCATTTAACCCATCACACCTGGGAGACACCCAGGTGCAGCAGTGGGCAGCTATGCAAGCGCCCGGGGAGCAATTAGGGATTAGGTGTCTTGCTCAGAGACATGACATGTGGGAACGACTGGGAGTTGAACCATGACTTTCTAGTCCCCAGTCGGCTGCCCTGCCTCTGCCCCATCGACAAATTAAATGACCAAATGGCTACAACTCAGCCTGTTTAACAAATACTGAGCTAAAATCTGGTGCAGTAGCAGCTGAGAGTGATTCTCAGCTGCAGACTGACTGCAGGAGACTGATTTTTAAAGCTTTTCTAAAACATGAACCGCTGTAGTAAACTCTGGAGATGTTTTAATGAAACTGTTAGAAAGTAATTTAACATCTCTGCGACAGACCGACCTCAACAGACCGACCTCAACAGACCGACTTCTGGAGCCTTAACTTCTTGAAAATGAGTCCTTGTGACTCAGTGACACTAACCTGTATAAATAAAGGTTGAATGAATGGAGCCAACCCAAGTCAAGATGGCTGCCACAGCCATCTGATCTTAGCAAACAGAAATGGGTATAGCTCAACCATTTTCACAGACACTGTTGTACAATTTGGTTTGTTGGTAGCAGAGATGATGTTCAACATGTTTGCCTCGTGCAGTGGTGCCCAATATGTCAATCGCGTTCTACCGGTCGATCGCCAAAGCATTATGGGTAGATTGCATGGCATTCTAAAAAAAAAATAAAATTAAATAAAATTAAAAATAAAAAAATAAAAAAATCGATGTCAGCATATCATCCATCCTCATTATGAAATTTGTCACTTCATTGACATCCATTGCAGCCAGTCACAGCCATTCTCTCAAACCAAGTCTCAGAGCAGAGATTTTCAGGGGAAATATTTATATTTATCCATATTTACCCCCACTCCCCCCATCATATGAAATTCTCCATGTGCGAAGTTGCACAAGTGCACACCAGGTGGCTGCAGTCTGAAGTTTTTCTGCACTAACAACAGTTATAATAAATAACAACAGTTATAATAAATAACAACAGTTATAATAAATAACAGTTATATTAATGTCAGACAGCAGAGAGGGTTTTTTTGCTGCTCATCCGCACTAGGGCATTAACAGAGTACTCGAGTAATCTACACATCAATTGCTAGGACATCTATCGAGGTTAAAAATGTAACGTTGAGTATCCGTAGTGACGTCATATTATGTGACCACCGTATGACTGTAGGGGGCGGTGTTGCACTGTTGCAGGTTACAGAGCATGGTATAACACCGGGTCCAATCCACCGAACCAGAACCAGTTTCGGTTTAAGTTTTGTTTTTGACGTGCTGCACGTTTCTTCACGTTTGCAGTTTAATAATAATAACTAAAAGTTTAGTTTTTCCTGTGACTTATTTGCAGTATGATAAATGGTAGGAGCATAATATATGCTCCCAATGTTTTGTTGGTCTTTTTTTTTTGTAAATAATTACCTTTTTTGCGGTTTTATTTATTTATTTATTTATTTTTGAATCTTGAGATCTATGACATCATCAAATACTAGAGTTCTACTCGGGTTTTATTATGTTGATGTCGAGTTTAAAAATTATATACTCGTTCAACCCCTACTCCGCACATATGACAGTTTAGGTCAAAATACAAACTGGATTCCAAAATAGTTGGGACACTAAACAAATTGTGAATAAAAACTGAATGCAATGATGTGGAGATGGCAAATGTCAATATTTTATTCGTAATATAACATAGATGACAGATCAAAAGTTTAATCTGAGTAAATGTAACATTTTAAAGGAAAAATATGTTGATTCAAAATTTCACCGTGTCAACAAATCCCAAAAAAGTTGGGACAAGTAGCAATAAGTTGCTGGAAAAAGGAAATGGAGCATATAATGAACAGCTGGAAGACCAATTAACACTAATTAGGTCAATTGACAACATGATTGGGTATAAAAAGAGCTTCTCAGAGTGTCAGTGTCTCTCAGAAGCCAAGACGGTAAGAGGATCACCAATTACACCATTGTTGCGCAGAAAGATAGTGCAGCAATACCAGAATGGTGTTACCCAGCGTAAAATAGCAAAGACTTTTAAATTATCATCATCAGCCGTGCATAACATCATCAAAAGATTCAGAGAATCTGGAACAATCACTGTGCGTAAGGGTCAAGGCTGTAAAACTCTACTGGATGCTCATGATCTCCGGGCCCTTAAACGTCAAACAGGAATGCCAGGAAGAGGAAGCCATTTCTAAGCAAGCTCCACAAGCTCAGACGTTTGCACTGGGCCAGGGGTCATTTAAAATGGAGTGTGGCAAAATGGAAGACTGTTCTGTGGTCAGATGAGTCACAATTTGAAGTTCTTTATGGAACACTGGGACACCATGTCATCCGGACCAGAGAGGACAAGGCTAGCCCAAGTTGTTATCAACGCTCCGTTCAGAAGCCTGCATCACTGATGGTATGGGGTTGCATGAGCGCTTGTGGCATGGGCAGCTTGCATGTCTGGAAAGGCACCATTAATGCAGAGAACTATGTTCAGGTTCTAGAACAACATATGCTCCCATCTAGACGTCATCTCTTTCAGGGAAGACCCTGCATTTTTCAACACGATAATACCAGACCACATTCTGCAGCAATCACAACATCATGGCTACGTAGGAGAAGGATCCGGGTACTGAAATGGCCAGCCTGCAGTCCAGATCTTTCACCTGTAGAGAACATTTGGCGCATCATAAAGAGGAAGGTGCGACAAAGAAGGTCCAAGACGATTGAACAGTTAGAGGCCTGTATTAGACATGAATGGGAGAGCATTCCTATTTCTAAACTTGAGGAACTGGTCTCCTCTGTCCCCAGACGTCTGTTGAGTGTTGTAAGAAGAAGGGGGGATGCCACACAGTGGTAAAAATGGACTTGTCCCAACTTTTTTGGGATTTGTTGATGCCATGAAATTTGGAAACAACAGATTTTTCCCTTAAAATGATACATTCTCTCAGTTTAAACTTTTGATCTGTGATTTGTTTCTATTCTGAATAAAATATTAGATGTTGGCACCTCCACATCATTGCATTCAGTTTTTATTCACAATTTGTTTAGTGTCCCAACTTTTTTGGAATCCGGTTTGTACCATCATTTTAAAGCCACAGTACTATAGTTCATAATTTCTTATCTGGCAACCCAACTGAAATGGAAACTACAGCATTTTTCTTGTTAACCCACTCTTTTTTTGTTTATCTTTTGTTGTTAACACCAACTATTCCAGAGGTTGTTCTCGTGTAAACGGGGCCTTGTTGTAGGTAGATCACTTTGACTTGGTCATTTTAAAAGTAGCTCGCATGCTGAAAAAGTGTGGACACCCCTGGCTGAAATATTTGACACTAACTGTAGCGTTACACTTTCAGTGTTGGCAAAATATTCCATGAACTACTGGATGAATTTTAATTTAGCCAACACAAAAATGCAACCGTCAGATTTGTTGGTATGGAGCTAAAGTTTGATGCAACAGCTGAGACCTATTAATGCTACCTGCTCTGACATCTTGTGAGAACTTGTTATCTCTGACTGAGCAAGAGGTCTTTTTAGAAGGTTCGTTCAAAATGGCTGTGACTCCACCCCCTCTCTGCATGAAATGATTTTAGCTTCATTTCTTTTCTTTTTTTAAACCAAGACGTTTACACATAAACCATCTGAATTATTATTATTATTATTATTAATCAGGTCTCTCTTGTAAATGAGTCCTCGGGGCTCAATGGGATTTACCTGTCTAAATAAAGGTTGAATGAATTCCACACATTCAGAATTAAACAGTTTGTGTTGTATGCCTGTAATTTTTTCAAACCTCTCTTCTATAACAACCCTTGACTTGGTGAATAACTGTTTTAATAAGTCATTTATAAGAGAGTTGTTATCTGTGTGTGCACAGGCTGGGAACAGTCACTTTCAAATATGCAGGCTCAAAAGTGTCCTTTAAACAAAAACCACAGATGCAGTTGAAAAGTCTTACTCCTTTTTGTTACAATGCAGAAACAGTGAGCCTCAGAAATTTGATCTGTGTCTGCACTGTAGTCCACCGTGTGAGGCATCAGGACGTTTTGCTCAGAAAGGCCGTGAACGTTTGTAATATCGGTTTTTGTTGTACCTCCCAAAAGCTGTCAGAGCTGCTGAGGTTGCAGAGGTCTCCGTTGGAAGACATGATGGGGTCGGCCTTACAGCACGGAATGATGGCGGCTGCAGGAGAGACTGCAGAGAACAGGAAAAATAAATACTTAGAGGTTATTCGTCAACACATGATACACAAACTTTATACAGAATATTGAAGTTTGTATATTAGTAATATTAATAATTAGTAATATTAGTAAAAAAATTAAACTCTCAGATACTGACATGGTAATCCAAGGAGGCTTTTTATTTTTTTTTTGGTGACTGAACATCCTTTCCTGTTTTGGAATATATTTTTTATGTGAAGGTCTTATAGAAATAAAACTCGAGTTATTTTACAAAGAAAAAACAAAAAACCTCCCAGGATTTATATAAAATGCACAGCTGTAAAACAAACAAGACTATGATGAGCACACAGAACACACATCTGTATTTATAAGTAAACTGCAGACGTTACTTGATATTACTACAAGATGTCTTCTTACAGAAACACTCAACTGGTCACTCATCATACATTAAATTGATTTTACTTTAGAGATTTAATTTAATAACATTTTACACTACAAAACAAAAAAACGTTTAAAACAAGGACATCGATGCTTTATTTGAAATGCAGCTATGAAGTCATTTGTTTGGTTTTGCTCTCAAGGATGTAAATAATTTAATTAAAAGAAAGAAAAAAAAGATTTCCTTTAATTTTCAAATGTTCAACAACATGAAAATGTTTAATATTTGGTGTAGATGTTGGTATAAAACGATCCTGCAGCATCGTGCCTTCACACAGCTCACACACCAGCAGGTCAACAAAATTAGAACAACACTAAACACCAACGTGTACGTCTCCCTTAACACCTGCTGAAACCAAGAATTGTTATTAAAGTGTTATTAAAGTCTTATTAAAGTGTTATTAAAGTCTTATTAAAGTGTTATTAAAGTGTTATTAAAGTGTTATTAAAGTGTCATTAAAGTGTTATTAAAGTGTTATTAAAGGAATCATTTTTAATTCCAGCACAAACAGACTTGATGATGGATTTGTGTGAAGAGATGTTCCTGAACAGAGCTCTGAGGATGTTAACAGAGCAGATCTGTTCCATGCAGCAAAACAAGTTTTAATTCAGGAGCACCCCAGCATGACATAAAAGAAGTCCCCCCCACCCCCATTCATTAAGGATTAGTTAACGATGACCTGAGTCCCCACACAGCCACTCCTCCTGTGACGCTGTGCCTCTGAATCAACGTGTCGAGGTCAGGAGGCTTCTCACGCAGACACAACAACCTGGGAGGAGAACGAGCCGCAGCCCAGCTGCCAGCGCTGATCTGCTCACGTTCAACAAGAAAACAGCTGCTCGCGAATTCTCATCTGAAGAGTGTGATCTGTGTAGCTACTACAGGTGATCTGAACACTTTAAGCAGCAAAAGAAAACGTCAGTTCATAAGAAAAGTCTCAGGGTAAAACAGAAAAGTCCCCGTGTAAACTTCAAGTCCAGTTTAACACAAATCAACTCTTTTTCCAATACAGTCAAGCTTTAGTAAAAAAATAAAATAAAATAAAAAGTTGCCAAGGTTAGGGAGCAAACCAAGAGGACTCCATTTTATTCTATAAGGAAAGGACTGTAAATTCTGATTTATACAGATAACCCACTTGTACCATCTGTTAACTCAACTCTCCATGGACCTGCTCAGGGTCAGTATGCTGCAATGCATTGTGGTCTCGATATATTCATGCCTACTTCCAGTTCTTTAATATTTTAATCTTTTTTGTCCTTTGTGAATATTGGTCAACTCTAGCCTGTTCTAACTTATTCTGAAGTTTGATGTGCGTTCATGTTCATCAGTATTAGTGTGGATCCACACTGTTCATATCTACTGGTTTGTGCTGCTCTGCAGTCAGCCACACATCTGGCAACAATATATGCTGATGACGCTTCGTTACAAGATACCAATAAAACTACTTCAGAAAATATGTTTGTATTAAAAACAAAAAACATTGCTGGTGTAAAGGACCACAAACACGAAGTAAAAGCAGATGTTGAATACTGGAAGTAGTTGTGTGTTAGGGCACATGGTGCCCGAGATGGTGCCGGCACACTAGTACCAGAAAAAATATCCATTCAGAACTTTTACTTGGTTTTCTAAACTGAGGTCAGACTGCTGATCCCACGTCCTCAGAACCACAGCAGTGTTTCCCCTACCATTATACAAGCGGGGCGCCCCAACCCCATCTACTGAACCGCGCACACCCCACCCATCCACCTGTCAGTACTGACGTAACGCTAAGTTAGCAGCTCGCAATGTAGGTGCCCTAGTTACAAAACTAAAGGCAACCTCGTCCTTCATGTTGAACCCTCACACTGAAACACACAAACCGAAAATTGTTGGTACAAACAGCGCACAGCTCAGATTTGTGTCTGTCTTAACCCCCCCCCGCTCTAAAACTGTCAGTATAAGCAGTGTTCAATCAACACAACGAGATGAGCGACCCACCATGGCAAGTTATCTAGGAGAAACACTGCACAGTTCAAGAAATGGTAAATGGACTGTACTTATCTAGCACCTTTCTATCTGATCAAGACACTCAAAGCGCCTCACAAAACAATCTGTGCCTCATTTACTCATTCACACAGCACTCTACTAGATCTCTACATAGATAATTGAATAAATCATTCTAAAGAGACTAATCAGTGCTTTATCACATTCATACACTGATGGGACACACATCAGAGGCAATGACGGGTTCAGTGTCTTGCCCAGAGACACTTCAGCATGTGACTGCTGGTGGATTCAAACCCCCAACTCTTGCATTGGAGGACGACTGCTCTAACCACTCAGCCACAGCCGCCCTGTGAATGATCCTTTAAAAGGTTCAGTAAGGCAGCATGTTTGGTAGAGCTGCTGCCTCAGGTAAAAGGTTACGGGATTAAATCCCAACCAGAGACCTTTCCAAGTCGAGTTTGCATTTCTCTCATGTGGGTTTTCTCCGGGTGCTCCAGTTTCCTCCCACAGACCAAAAACATGCATGTTAGGATGATCGGTAACTCTAAATTGTCTCTAGGTGTGAGTGAGAGAGTGAATGGTTGTTTGTCTCATTTGTCTCTATGTGTCCCTGTGATGGACTGGAGACCTGTCCAGGGTGTCCCCCGCCTCTCACACAGTGACTGCTGGATATGGGCACCAGCAACAACCATTCGACCCGAAAAGAAACAAGCAGGTAAAGATAATGAAGTTTCTGTAATGACAGAACTTGTGCACAAGCCAAATCACTTCCAGTTGCTCTTGTGTGAAATACAAAATTAGCCAAACGCTAACTGTGAGAAGCACATGTCTGAAGTCAGCTAATTCATACAGACTGTGAAAGCAGCCGAGTACGTGCACCTTTCACATGAGAATGGCATGTATGCTAACGGCAGCAGAGACCTCTGCCATCAACATGCTGGAACATGAAGTGCCGACTTCACCGGGCGTCACTAATTACTGCTCCTTCAGAGGTTTAACAGGTGAGGACACAAGAAATCAGCAATACGCAATGTTTACGTGCACAGTGACAACTGCAGAGATAGACTAGAGCTTTGTTAAGCAGGGTTTGAGTAGTGTTGCATCATCTGTAAACGCAGGGAGAAATTCTCACAGGAGCTAACAGCTAATCATCTGACAGCTAAAGAACAGAGTCATGAAGCAGGACAATGATCCCAAACAGCAGCAAATCTGCTGAAATAAATAAATAAATGTCAACGTGTTGCAACGGTCCAGTCAAAGTCCAGATCTCAACCGATCGATCTTAACTGAGCTGTGCAAAGACAAATACCTTCACCCCTCAACGAACTGAAGCCACGTTGTAAAGAGCAGTGGGACAAAACTCCTCCACCACTCATGAGAGACTAATGATCATCCAGAAATGACCATTAACTTTATTTCTACTAAAGATGGTTCTACCAACTGTTGATTAACGGGTGGACTAAGTTTTTACCATAGTTTTTCCATTTTGGCTTTGTTTTTAATAAACAACGATTTCCATTTTGTGCTTTCGTACATTTGAATGTTTTTTTTTTATAATAATTTTAAAAACTGGTGAAACGATCCTTTTATTACGTCTTGCTGAATAAAACAGCTCTGTCTGCACAATGGATTAGTGGTTAGCACTTTTGCCTCACAGCAAGAAGGTCCTGGGTTCAATCCCTGGTTTGGACCTGGGTCTTTCTGGGTGGAGTTTGCACGTTCTCTCCGTGCTGCGTGGTTTTTCTCCGATTTCCTCCCTCAGACCAAAAACATGCATGTTGGGCTTCCTTCAGGCCCAAGAGAGATCTGGGACCTCAGTGGGATTTTCCTGGTTACATAAAAGTTAATCAAATAAAACCCTAAAAATAGAGAATGGAGTTTATTTTTTCACATGACGAGATATCGCCAAAGATAAAGAACACTTGTTTGATTTTTTGCTGCCTTATAGCGTTTCCTCTACCGTTACACAAGCAGGGTGTCCCACCCCGCCTACTGAACTGCCCCCCCATCTGCCGGCACTGACGTAGTTCGATACTAACGGAGCGCAATACAGACGCGCTAGCTAAAAAGCTACAGAGGTAGCGCTTTGTTTCCCTCACACTGAGCCATCTGCCCCCCCCCGCTCGAAAACTGTCGCTACAAGCAGCGCGCAACACAGACGTGTCTCCACCCCACCCCACCCGTCGATAAAAATCACTGCTTGTACTTATTGCTTTGGAAGTATTAAGTAAAAAAAAAAAAAAAGATCTATATATATCTATATGTATATATACATCTATCTCTCTATACATCTCTCTCTCTCATAT